TCACCAACTGACATATTTTGCAAATTAAAAATCCCCAACTAATAGCCCACAAAAAAAATTTAAAAAATGGAAAATAAAATCGAGAAAATAGTATAAAGCACACGTTGCAGAAGGCTATTCTCGCACTCATTCGTTTATCCACTCGCTCCTTCGTCGCTCGTGGCCAAATTTCGAATTCGTGCGGGAATATGTGGGTATTTTAATATACTATTCCCGCACCAGTGCGGGAAGACTTTGAAATAATCATTGTGACATGGAATTGTTTTTATTTGCAATCATATATGTAATCTTGTCATTACTGACTTTTTAAAAATTTGGAAGTGACACTTTACCTGTGTCACTTCCCTCTTCGATTTCCCTCACCGATTTCCCTATTCGACTTCTCTCACCGATTTCCCTCACTCTAATTTATTTACCTTTGCTGGCAACAATGAGAACATGTCAGGTAAAAACGTCAAAGCAGTGAATGACACATTTTGGCATGTTTGTTTTATTTTTTTTATTTGTCACTCATTTGTAAAACGTCATTTAACAAGTCAAAACATAAACAACGAAAATTGATTTTTACCAGTTACTGGCTCTACTGACTTGTAAAATTGACAGCTAAACTGTAAAAACTTTTTATAAGTCAGTAGGGTCAGAGAATTATTTATTAAAATTGTATTACCTATATGTATTAATTTTTTATTAATTGTTTAAGATTGTTTACAAATGAGTAACAAATAAATTATTGTACATCATACGCCAGGTATCAGTTTTTACTGGCTCTTGAAGGTGACAAGCTCGCCTGACGGCTCGCTAGTCATTTCCTTCAATCACCAGTAAAAACTGTTTTACCTGGCTAATAATGTAAAATACTATAACCCGGCATTACACGCGCCAAAAGAATTACGTCGTTACACGCGTTCGGTCAAATCGACCGACTGCCCAAAAGTTTATATGAATTATTAGCTTTTTTCGCGGAAACGATCCCAAACGTATCCTGAACGCTAAGGCATGACCTACGCAATTTTACTAATCAATAGAGACATGAAACTTTCAAATATTACCTGCGTAAGTCATGCCTTAGCGTTCAGGATACGTTTTGGGACCGTCTCCGCGAAAAAAGTGTACAAGCACTATAATTCCTAGGATTCATAATTATTACAAATGGAATTATATTATGCAGTACAGTTACCGTATTATCGACAGCCAAAAGTACTCCCAATATCAGAAAATGCCATTTTTGAACACAAATATTTCAGATACTCAGGTTCACGCGCCTAGTCAGAAGCACCAACTATGAAAATAACGAACCCTTTTTCAACCAAAAACCAAAATATTTTTGGGCCAATGGGTAGTGGAAAACCTGCATCAGGCATTCCTGGATGGACAAAACTGTCACCCTTGTACCAGTGGCATAATTACTGGTTTTATCAATGATCGGTCTTTTTGACCGACACGCGTGTACTCGCGGGTTAATATTAAAAAAATTTATTGACTAATCATAATTAATTGTGTGCTTGCAAATATTATAGTATACAAACCTCGGAGGAAAGTTTTCATTTCTGTCTCGACAGTAATGAAACACTTCCCTACTCGGTATGTAATATACTATTATTGTTGATACACCTTTTATTACCTTTGATACCTTTACCTTTTTTTTATAAATACCTTTCAATACATTTTTAATTCTACGTTCTGCACAATCGCATTTTATTTAAATTAAACTTCTCGTAACATCAGCTTTAGTATGCTCGTAGAAAAAAATATAGTTCCAAACTCTTGCGGGAAGAAATATCCGGCACACGGGCGCTTCGCACCCTCGTTCCGGAAATTTTTCTTCCCGCACTCGTTAGGAAAATAGCTATATTATTGTCAGTAAAAAAAGTTATATAATCAATATGTCGAGTTTTATGGTAAGACTGAATTTATTCAATAATTATAACTTCAGGAAATTAATCAAATCAATAATTAACATTGATAAAATATCGGACTAGTGCTATTTGAACACGATTTTGAATGAAATTAATGCTTATAGGACAAAAAATGATATCAAAAAATTCTCTCCGTGTTTGTGACATAAAAATTAATCATTATCAAACCAGACAGTTTGCAGGTTGGTTTAATCTAAAGTAATTTATTGTAAGTAGGTACATGATATAAAAAAAAAGGAAATATGTCATAAATCTATTTTTTTAATGATTTGAGAAACACAGTGATGAAAACAAGAATGGCTACGAGCTTTTAAATTTGGCATACATTCTAGGCATGCAAAGAGCATATTTGCAGCTTTGGAAAATATCATAATAAAAAGAACTTCCTGACATGAACAGAAAAGACATTAAAAAAGTCGTTGGTCTGCTCACTGGAATTACCTGGTGGATTTTGGGAAAAACCTCCTACATCAACTAGAAGCGCAGGCACGCACAAAATATCTGGAAAGGTAGCAGTGCTTAAGCGGCTGAAACAAGCTGTAACCACTCCAGATGCAATCTACAATCTCTACACTAAAAACTGAAACTGTACTTGAGAATTGCATCAAAAATCATAAGATAGCTCTCTTTTAGAAAGGCGACCAGACTTATCAGAAGGTACCATTTTAGTTTTATCCAAAATATGGAAGTTGTTCATCAAAATCATAATGCCCGTTTGTTCCGTCTTCGCCGTAAACAGTGATTAGCTAATCAATGATTTGTTTTTAATCAACGTTTATATATTTGTGATTTGCACCGTCTAGAACTGAACAGTGTTTAGGTAAACGGAGAAAGTACTTGGCAACAGCGTAATATTCTTCTGTTTGGCTAACTTCACAATGCTCAAAGACGCATTCATAACCACAAGTTTATGTCTGACAATGCCAAACTGTCAAACAAATTGACTAGCAAAGTTTTTTGGGTTCTTGTAAATTTTTTGTCGTGTTATTTTTTGCGGTGTGCGTCAGGACCTCCTGACTGAACTGTGGTATTTTTTTCAATTCAATGTTCATTTTCTGCATGAATTTCAACAAAAATTGTGAAATTTGAAGAACCAAGACAAAATAAAACCAATTAAGTAGATCCCCTATCAGTTCCAGCAAGTACAAAACTGTATTTTTCATCAGCCGCGAATATCTGAAAAATTTCAGGTTATCCAGCTCTTGAAAATGGTTTTTCTCTAGTAAACCTTCCAGAGAAATCCGACCCCATAGCTTTGTTCCAACCCAGCAGAGAACCGTTCATTTTACCGCCAGGATTCAGCGCAAAACGTAAAATTTGTGCGTAAAATCCGAAATGTGTATACAGAATGGTTCCGAATAAGTTCTTGGGGCGGTTTTTTGCTAGGTTGGAAGTTGGAACAGTCTTAATAATGTCCAGAAGATCAAGATCGTCATTTGAAAACATATCGTCTTTAAGGAAATCGAAATCATAATCCATTTTAATTTAATTTAGAATATTCAGTAAAAGCAATGAAACAATAAAAAGAAAAAATCAACAAATGGATTGAGGTTGAAAAGTACGAATATTCTAATCGATGTTTTAATCACCAAAAATTGGACGTTTAGTTCAATCAATGTTTAAGGATCGCTAAACGTTGATTAGTGAACGGTGCAAGTCATTTTTAAAATTAATCAATGATTAATTACTTAAACGTTGTTTAGGCAAACGGTGCAATCGGCCATAAGCGACTGTTACTAACCGATGTAGAATGAACTAACTTGTTGGATAGACCGGGTTTCGTGAGGTTTCAGTACTTCTTCACACCATTGTAATCTAATAGAATACTTATGCTAACGAATACGAGCTTTCTCTCTAAGTAGCTTTCGTGAAAAATGAGAAGGCATTCGGTAGCATTGAGCTCCGTAAAAAAAGAGAAAAGGAACAACTCTGGAATTGACTAACGATAGAAGCAGTTCATCCAGAGCATCCACAGAAATGCCACATTGATAATAATAATTGAGTGCATTGAGTACAGGAGTTAGCAACGTCGCGTTTTTGATCTGCGTCGAAAATTCTCCTCGGAAAACACGGAAAAAAGTAACCAAGTGCAAAAAGTTAAAAAAAATAAATTCATCCGACAATAAAAACTAAACCTGCAGGAATTATTAGGACAAATACAAAAAAATCGCGAAAAATTAATTCTACGAGCAAAAAACGGCAAAATTAGGAAAGTGAAACATAACCTAAATCTTCTAAGGGAAACTAGCCTGCAACAGACATAAACAGAAATCAGCTGATGTCCGGCATATTTTGCTGACGCCGTACCAGATGCTTGATCATCCATCTCGTGCTAACAGTAAACAAATAGCCAAACTTTTTAGGTAGACAAAATAAAACGGAAAAAATTAAATTAGGCATACCAACGAGCTGTCAAAACTATTACAAAATGGTGTCCGGAGCGGAAGTTCCTTATTCCGTATATGACAGTATAAAATGTAAAGCTTTTTAAAGTGCATTGTGTGGTTGTTTTGTGACTAAACCCTATTTATTTTTTTATTTTATTGACTTCATAAGGCTTTTTGCTAATTAAAAATGCCATAAAAGTGTCTTGTAGTTTATTTTGGAAAGCGTTTCAACAAGGATGATGCCAGGTTATTTTCAGTGCCCAACCTTTTAAATTTTTCCAATTAAAACGTGAAAAATTATTCAGTACCACTGTTCCTACATCTTAAATAGAGCCATACTCGAAATACTTGTAAGAAACAAATGTCAACTGGACATTTTCTCATACTTACCGTCCGCCCACATCCCGATTCTCCTGCCTAAAAGTCTTTAAATATTCACTCTGCATCTGGAAATAGTATATTACAACAAAGTGAACTGTAATTACCTCGAAAATATTCCAAATAAACTCAAGATAAACAAAGAAACGTCAAATTTTCTACAAACTTCATCTTGAATAATCACGTGGTTTGGAGAGCCTTATTCGAATGCCACAGAAGCCAGGACATCCATTTTCTTATATGTGTGACATGCTACTCAGTGGCGCAGAAATCATGCCACGAAAGACTTAAAAATTGGATACACATAAATGCTCATAAGATGTACTGCTCGAAAGCCTGCCAGGAAGATGCAGAACTAAATGAAAAACTTCTGGAGAATGCCCAGCTATTAGAGAAAGAAAATGAAGAGCTGCTGCAGGTATTGGAACAGAGAGATGATTACATTAACAGAACAATAACAATAAAAGAACAAATAAATACAGATGCCATAGAGATGGAAGAATTCTTCACGAGACAGCTGGAAGAAAGAATAAGTCGAATAAACCTTGGAAAGCCAAAAAAGTGAATTACAAAGAACAACAGCGTTGCTGCAAAAACCAAAAGCCAACTGTTCGACACAAACTACAATAAATAAAACCGACTCATATATCCAAACTGAGTCAGCAAAAATGGTGACATCAGCAAGTCAAACGACGATCGAAACTGAAACAGTAATAAACACAAAAGTAAGTCGAACAGAGCAAAGACAGAAAACCGCCTGTCAAATCACGAGAGCTCCGATCGAGGAAACTACAAATGGAATAGATTGTGAAGTAAAGCCAGAGGAAGACAGTTTATGTTCATATACTGAACTATTAGCTCAACCACTACGAATAAAATCGACAAAGAAACAGTGGATTGCTAAAAAACTGGGTACAGCACAAAAGAAATAAACACAACAGAGAGAGAGCGTTAGAAAAAGTCCCACAAATCGTCATTCTGGGTGACTATACAATAAAGGGAAGTACCTATGCAGATTCTCAGAAGATTAAAAAATAAGAGCTATGACACAAACTGTCAATATAATCATATCTCAAATAAAGAAATAATTACTAAAAGTAGAGCACTTACACAAAATTTATCTCTGAAAGACCAGGTTATCATATTTTCAACACAAAAAGACATAATAAGAGGGAAAACTCTGACTGAAAAGCTACTCCATGAATTAATATTGGCAGCCGAGCACACAAACTTACAAGTAGTGGGAAGTGGGAACATTGTTTGCTAGAAAAGAAAAAATTGCATTAGATAAAATGATACAAAACCAAAAAGATTAAACAAAACTCTATCTTTCAAACTTAAATATAGATTTTGAAGATCCAAATAACATACAGGATTACAATTATACAGGAAGATTTGATTGGAAATTTAATCTCATGGAAAAAGTGTGAAATAAATATATAAACACAACAAAGAAGTGGAAAGAATATTCAAGCGCTAACGAAAAAAGCACCACACAACAAGTTAAAAGAGACATGAAAATACTACAAAATATAACAACACCAACATACACAGAAAAAAAATATCCCTCACAACAAAACACAAACAATGGGTACAACAATGAAACAAATAATAATATCGACTCCAAATAAAAAATTTTGAAAGGCAAGGTAGGTAAGGCACTGGAGATAACAAATAAAAAATCTACAAAACAACCACAGAAACCTCAACAAAAACATCAAAATGAAAGTGGAATTAACATATTTCACAAAAATATACAAGGAGTAACAACATCATTGCAGAATCTTGAAATTCTATTGGAGACATCAGATTAGGTATTCCAGGTTGACGTCATTACCGATCCGCCATTTTAACTGAGGGGCAGACACAAGCCAAACATAACCTGATTTAGTGTAATTTTCAATGCAAACCGAGAATTTTTGAACTATTATTTTGTGAAGATGCCTTCGTTTTGTAGCGTTTTTTGGTGCTCCAATAGAGCTGAAAGGGATAAAGTGAGCTTTTTTTAGGATTCCAGCAGCATTTAAAGATCGAGGGGATCGCATAAACGAGCTATCAAAAAAACAACGGAGTATGTGGATTAGATGCCTCAAAGAGGGAGATTTGACTGAAACGTTGTTAAAAATGTTCGAATTTGTTCGAAACATTTTGTTAATGGTAAGTTTTATGATTGTCTTGTTGTTAAAATACAAAAACACATCATCTAGGTACAGTGTGTCCCGCTTAAGGACTGACCACCGTTCTGAAATTTTAATTTTTTAACCGATTCAATTAATTTTTTTTTGTCTACTCCAATTTGGCACTTATTAGGCTTATCATTTTTTGTCGGCGGCTGTACTTGTGTACAGGGTGTCCACATTTATAGGCTCAAATTTCAATACATACTATTAGAGATTTTTTTAGAAAAAATCCGATAGCAGATTCTTGTTTAGAATGGTCTAAAACCCAAATGTACTCATTTTTGTTTCAATATGATACAGGGTGATCACCACGAATTTTCAACATTTAATGGAATAAACCGGAAAAAATTCATATTTTGAGGCCTTGAGAATAACAAAACTTGATGCAACATAGTTTTAGAACATCCTTAGCCAAAACTTGTAGTAAACTTGTCTCAAAATCTAACATTTTTAGGGTTTGATTCATTAAATTGTGAAAATTTGTTGTCATCACCCTGTATCGTATTGAAACAAAAATTAGTACATATGGGTTTTAGACCATTCTAAACCAGAATCTGCTATCAGATTTCTTCCAAAAAGATCCCTAATAGTACTTATTGAAATTTGAGCCTATAAATGTGGGCACCCTGTACACCAGTGCAGCCGCAGAAATAAAATTATGAGCTTTATAAATGCCAAATTCGAGTAGATATAGGACAAAAAAAGGATGAATTGAATCGGTCAATAATAAAAATTTTAGAAGGGTGGTCAGTCCTTAAGCGGGATACACTGTATATCAAAAAATTTGTTTATGTTTCTACAAGTAAGTAACTTTTAATACCTACCTTTTAGGTAGTCCAGCAGAATTTGAGGATACAAACAATCCGGATTGGGTCCCCAGTACAAATTTAAGATATAGGTAGGTACTACGATAATTTATAAAAGCCCAGAATGAACAAGCCAGCTACATGCCAGATTTGTGCACCGATCAGAACAGTCAAAACGTGTGAGGAGTCATTCTACCACAAATTTGTTTTGCTAAAATTTATTTCATTTTTTCAACAATTTAGACTCCTAAGCATTATTTTTGTTAATAAATTGTTTGTTTACTATTGCTGAATTGAAATGTAAAGTGGCATGTCGGCATGTCTGTAAATAAAGATTCATTCATTCATTCCATTCATTCACAAAAACTAAAAACAACTTAAAATTTATTGAACAAATCAAAAAACCCAAAAATTCCGAAGCACAAACTCAAAAAACAGTGTAAACAATAATGATCTATAGGCTTTGTCTGCCCCTCAGCAATTATGGCGGACCTGTCAAAGTCACGTGACCTGGAATGGCTAATCTAAGTACCAAATAAAGTGCTGGACAAATGATGCGGAACAAGCGAGCTTTTAGGTTAACTTCAAATTCCAATATTACGCGAAATAAAAAAAATATCAATGGGCGGTTTTCGAAAATTAACTTTTAAATTACGCAAAACACTCATTGATATCTTCTTAAGTTGTGTAATATTGGAATTTGAAGTTAAACTAAAATATCGCTTTTTCTGCTTCATTTGTCCAGCAGTTTAGTATGTCTATCAGAACACTGGATGAAGCCAGGGAAAGAACAATTTGTAAAATTAATGGGATACAACCTGACAACTTGTTATTCTCGTGAACATATGAACAGAGGAGGGGTAGGTATGTATCTTTAGGTACCGATGAAAAATCATAATTCGAAGAATTGGGAATCTATGACGACTGGAACATAGATGGAAACTTTGAGATGTGTGCTGTAATAAACAAATCACAGAAACTGTTGGTACTTTGTCTATATAGATCGTGTCTAGGTGCTTTTAACGTTTTTCATGATATGTATACTAGAAATATTAAATAGACAAATATATCAAAAATTTAAAGATTATACTGTAATATGGGAGTGAGATTTTATTGTGAATTTCATTTTGGAGGAAGGGGCATTAAGTAGAAAAAAAAGGGGACAAAGAGACAAAGTTTTAAACTTTTTTAATAGCTACAATTTTAAACATACAATATTTGAAATAACTAGGCCCCATAAAGTTGAATTGTGAACACTGAGAACTTTCCCAATAACCAAGTGTTGATCACAGCACTAAGTGATCACCATGGGCAAAAAATATCTTTAATTAAATCATAGATAAAATCAAATAACTCCCAAAAAGCCTCTACAGGAAGAAGTTCCACAAAGGGAAAATTAAAACAGTTTAGGGCAGCAATAGAAGAAATTTCAAGGCAGGATGTGATGGAGGAAAATAATGCAGAAAAGGCATACGCCCTACAGACTTGTCTAAGTCCTGAATATGATATTTCCGGTGAGAGCAAGAAGGATGAGGCCATCAAACAGGGATCATGGGATAACAAAAGGTATAAGAATTTCATCAAAAAATAAAAGAAAAATATATGAACTCTATTTGAAATGAAAAAAAAAAGCAAACAGTATTACAAAAAATATTCAAATATCTTGAAGAAAATAACAGGAATGGCAAAAACTTTAAAAAATAAAAAATTTACACAAAAGGCAGATGTTAAAACAAAAACAATATGAACTGTAATAAACAGAATTACTGAAAAAGGAAATGAAAAAAGATCCCTGCTTAATGACTTAGATTACAACGATAAAAAACAGCTATTGAACAAAATTAACGACTTCTTCCTAACAAAATGCACAGACATAAATGACAACAAACAACTCGCTTGTCAAAAAACAATTCATTGCAAAGAAAGTATAGTGCTTGGGGAAGTAGCTCCACAGGAGATTACACAAATGATAAAAAATCCTAAAAATAAAAAGTCAAGCGTTTATGATGAGATACCCATCTGATACCTAAAAGAAACGGCGGACCAACTGGCAAAGCCACTTTCCCACACAATAGGGTAGTGGATAAGGTATTGTGCTGTAACGACAGCTCAGTAATGTTGGTTGAGTTTAGTGGACTGTAATTTAATAATCTTCTTTTAATTTGAAGATACAAAGATCGCGGAATCACTTTTTCCAGTGTTAAATAATATATGAATTTTTTATTGAGAAAAATCCCGTTATTCGGATTGGTAATTGACCTCAACAATATAAAGCAGTGATACAGCCTAATAAAAGAGGGACTTACCGAAGTGTCGTCTATTTTCCACCTCTAGGTGCACCTAGCCAAATGAGCTTTTGCGGCGAAAGACTTAGGGAATTTTCCAGCACTTAATTATGGGCACTTTTCCGATTTGCGGAGTTGATAGACCGAAGTATAATAATTATTCACTTTCAATTCCGGTTGCGAATTTTGTATTATTTAAATTTTGGTAATTTACCGACTGATCGCGTGCATATCGCGTGCATGGTCGATATCAGAGAGAGAGTTATCAGTGTTTAAAAACCAGTACAGTTCCTG